CTTTTGTACGGACTCAACCTTCAGTGTACGTAGAACAGCAATTCCCTGTTCACTCTGTTGATCAAAAGCCCGATGGAATCGCTATCATCACTTCGATCTCCTTGCCATCAATGTTTTCCTTATTTAAGGTTGCTCACTATAGTTTTACGATCGCATGAGCGCTGAAGAAGTAATCTGCGCGCGCTAAAAGGAAAACATCAGTGTTTTTCGATTTTTTATTACGTCAACATGAGCACAAAAAGCAAAACTGACAGTGAATTTTCTCGCGTTTCTTTCGGTGAAATTCCATAAAATTTGGCAGATTGGTAGTAAATATTTTATTTTAGTCGGAGCTCGTTTTTCAGGGAAATCTATTAGACCAGATTGTTTGAGCGGTAAAAGACATAAATTTGAAAATATCGAAAAAACTGCCTTTACAAACCCTACTTTTTTCGTGTTTAAAATTCGTATCCCGCTGGAAGCGATGTGATGTAAAAATTTTGGAAGATTTCACCGAAGGAAATTCATGAAAATCACAAATAAAGCCATAAAAACAGTAAAAAACACAATTGTTTGGGCTTTTATAATTTAAGACTAAATCTCAAAATTTTAACACAAATGATAGCAAACAACTATTTAATCATTGCTTATTACATGTAATGACTTTGGACTAGGTGTGAAAACGAATGCAAAAACAGCATTCAAAATATAACACTTACGCGCGGAACGCCATAAATGATTACCGTATGTAGCCACCTTAATAGCTCTCACTGGGAAGATGAGAAAAAAGGTTCTACTGTCGTCGAGTGCGCGTTGGGATTGTGAAATTCTAATTATGAGTAAATGCTTTTCCAATCGAAACATGGCAAAGACCTCGCGTGATTTTCATGGCTCTTTTATCTCAGTGATGATAAATGTGGCGAAACCTTAGGCGAGTGAGCTTGGCAAAGTTAATGAACGCCATTAACTCACCACTCACCATTCGCAATTCACCACTCGCCACTCGCCACTCGCCACTCGCCACTCGCCACTCGCCACTCGCCACTCGCCACTCGCCACTCG